GGGGGGGCGGGTTTCCATTTTTTCCATAATTCCCTGCAGGTAATCTGCCAAGGTCTGCAGAGCAGTGGAGTAAGGACAAATGACACGTACGTCCTTTGAAGGTCACAGGGAAGTATAGACAAATAGAAGTAGGCAATGTGGTAATTTCAGAAATTTCCTTTATGGTGAGCTGCTGTATCAGAAATATTTTCAAAGCTGTGGATGGAGCACACCAAAGCCTTCCTCCTGCATCACCAGAAATACAAGGGGTAATTATCCTAGAACCACAGAATGGTTTGGGTTAGAAGGGACCTTAAAGACCACCCAGTTCCAACCCCCCTGCCATGGGCAGGGACACCTTCCACTAGACCAGGTTGCTCAAAGCCTCATCCAGCCTGGCCTTGAACCCTTCCAGGGATGGGGCATCCACAGCTTCTCTGGGCAACCTGTTCCAGTGCCTCACCACCCTCTCTGGGAAGAACAACTTTCTGATATCCTGATTATGGCCTGCTTTAATCTCCTATCACATAGCCAGAGCAGAAATAACATAGTGAGATGATTAAATGTATCTTAAATACATAATTATAGAAAATCAGAGCAACAGAAAAGGCCTACAGTCAGGTCATTCTCCAGATCCAGATTAGGTTTTGGATCGTTTTTCCGCTTTCCTTTATGCATAACTGGCTACCTCTGCAGGCTTAAAAACTCTTGCTTCAATGATTTCTTAACCAAAGTCATATCTTGTAGCTCCATGTTTTATTTATCTGAAAAAGAACATAAACGTTTTGAATAGTGGGAAGAGGGAAGGATCGTGGAAAAAATGGGTTTGCTGTACAGATTGGCACGTACGATGGTTTCCATAGTTTTTCAGCAGTGCTGAACCACTGCAGTTGTTCTTAAATGCTGGTTTTGCATGGGAAATAAGCACTAGACATGTGAAGTGTAAGATCTGCGTTGACTTGCGTGTCTGGGATAAGTTGCAACTAAAATGTTGCAGTAGTGAGGTCCAGACACGCAGATGGCGGCGCGTGCGTTCTGGTGCGCTGACACTGGCACTCGCTTGCCGTAAGCGAGGCACTGATCTGCGGAAACAGCTACACTTGGAATGAGGAATTCAACCAAGGGTTTCTGCTGTTCAGAAATGTAATGCCTACAGTCTCAACTGTGCAAACAGGTATTTCAGGGAAAAGAAAAATTGTTATATCTTTAAAGCATCGGCTTTACCATCTAGAAAAAAAAAGGTCAGTTTGCTACGTGTGCTACAGCTGCACCTTTTCTGGCTCTTGACGCCTTATTTTGCTCAGCTTTTACCCTTGTCGCTGATGGTTCCTCTCACAGCAATATTTGGCCTAAACTCATCTGCTGCGGTGCATGGGAGTCATGAGGAGAGGTGAGTGTGTAAGCTGTGAAGAGCTAGCAGAAATCAACCTGGCTTCTCTCCCATCGGTGAGGTCGTAGTTTGCGAAATCGAGTCGTCTGGATGGTCACAGGATCATTTTTTGTTGATTTGCCTCTGCGTTTTTTCCATTTCCTATTACTGCATTAGGTTGCACATTCATTAATGGTGGTGGAATGCCAAAATCTGCTCTTCTCCATTCCTCCTTCATTTTTTGGAGATGGGAAAAGAAAATGATGAAGAGTAGCGAAGTGTAGCAAAACAGACTCGGTAGTAAGAAAAGGATACGGCCTCTCCCACAAGTGGGATGTAGCCAGAAGCAAGTCAGCACTCATGCTGTGAGAGGAGGTGTTCAGCTTCCGGCTGAGCTGGTGAGCTCTCCTGGGAATTTTTGATGTTCTAGTTACCGACGCAGAAAATACAAGTAGAGTTTTGCTGGTTTTCCTTCCCCCAGCTGTACGTTTGTAGTGACCCAAAACGCAGGAAGTTGGAAAACTGCTGAAAGGGAACAGGTAGCACTGAAATGGGGGATACTATGCATGTGTTACCTTAAACACCTCTGTTTTTCTTTCCTCTGCCGTTAAATTTTCTGCATCGTCTGGAATCAGGAGTCACACCTTGCTGAAGCTGCATGTTTCAGTCTGTGGTTGCTGTGAGGTAGGGACTGAGGGTACCAGGGGCTTTCTGCCTGGGAGTGCCTGGGCTGTGCCACACCCTGGACCCCTAAGTCCGCTCTAGGAGCTGCCACAGCCCAGGCCAGCTGCGGGGATCTCCACGCCGGCATCGCTCAGCCCTCCGCGGTGCTGGGAAGATCGTGCACGTCAGTGTTTTTTTCAAGTGTCTTGTTTCTGTTCCTCGTTTTCTGGGTGCTCCTTTGGAGACAGTCCAAACCCCTCAGGGTTTGTCTTCGCTGAGAAAAAAAGAGGCATTTAATAATGTCCCACCAACTTTTTACAGTGTTAATGTCATCAAGGTAATTTGTCCTTCACATCTGTACGTCAGGTTCCACCCTGTGTCTCTCTACTCCTTATGTCAGTTTGCCTAAGTGTCAAGGGAAGCAGCATCTGGCTACTGATCTCCTGCTTAAGGAAGAAGGCACAAAGCTGTTAGGGGAGGAAGAGGCCTACACCATCTCAGACGAAAGAAGAGTTAGTGATTCTACAGCTTAGGGAGGACGGGGGGAGGTTTCCTGCAGATGCAAACCCCGGCTCTTTTCTTTCAGCACAGCAGCCTCTAGTGCCTTGGCCAAGCACTGGAAACGAAGGGGCTGTGATTGCCTGAAGCCTGATTCTCTGTGGGTGAGGAACGTATCCTGCGCAGCTTCGTACTGCAGAGCATTAGCTTTTCATTAGGAGTCAAGAATAAATGGCTTCTGTACGGCTCACGTGTACTCAAGAACAAGGGGCTGGACTGGAGACAGCCTGCCCTCAGACCCCTGGGCAGACAGCTGGGGTCTGCTGTCACCTGAACGGGTGGTCTGTGGGGTCTCGGCCTAGAACTGGATTGAAGCTCTCCTAGAAAGCTCCTTCAAGCAAATCTAAGTAACACAAGAGTCACCGCCCTCGCCGGTGATTTTAACAGCGCTTCGATCGCCTCAGTCATTGGAAACTCCATCTTCATTTAGGATCCAGCTTCATACCACCCACCGGAGCTTCTCCGTCAAACGTCACCCTATTTCCCCAAAGCTCCTCTTGAGCTACCGCTGGCAGAGGCTCTCACAACAGGCCGAGGCTGGCGACGGCGGCAGCGCTGGGTTTCTCGGGGCGGCAGGTAGGAGGGGTCTGAGGGAAGGATGTTTCTTTCCGTTGTTCTCTTCCTTTTTAGACGTTTAAGCACCGCTCTAGTTTCCGCGACCGCAGCCCAATGCCAAGAGCTGCT